TGAGGTTGCTGTGAGCTAGGCTGACACCACAGCACTCACTCTAGCCAGGGCAACAGAGTGAGACTCTGTCTCAAAAAAAAAAGAAATAGATATAGCAATGGCAAATAAAATATGGAAAAATTAAAGGAGAAATAAGTTAATAAACTTAAAATAATATCACATGTATTGGCTTATTTATTCCTCATGAAGAAATAGAGTGACTAAGAAAGGTATGAAAGGAGAAGGGGGGAAAATTGGTAAAATTATTGTTTTAAAAAAGCAAACCACAAATAAATGTATTTATTTGTTTTGTTTTTTGAGACAGAGTCTCGCTCTTTCATCCTGGCTAGAGTGCAATAGCATGATCATAGCTCACTGCAACCTCCAGCTCCTGGGCTCAAGGGATCCTCCTGCCTCAGCCTCCCAAGGAGCTGGGACTACAGGCGCACACCCGGCTAATTTTTTCTATTTTTGGTAGATGTAGGGTCTTGCTCTTGCTCAGGCTGGTCTCAAACTCCTGACCTCAAGAAAATCTCCCTCCTTGGCTTCCCAGAATGCTAGGATTACAGCATGAGCCACAGCACTCAGCCCAGAAACAAATGCATTTAGAACTTTAAGCTACAGAAAGGACTTTGAGGTGGCTTTTGGGTGTTTCCTGATATTGAGCCCCCACGTTCCCAAAGCTTTCTGAAATCTCCATGTGAACATCTACACTTTTCATTTTGAGACAGACCCCATCCCAGCTATCTTTGATAAGTGCTATATAAAGATATTTACTCTATAAATAAACTAGGACACTAAATAAAATGTGATTATCATTGCATTATTATCTCTAAATAATTAAATGATTCAGGGGTTGGTGATGAATAAACTTGGCAAAAAAATGGGGGTGGAGTATATATTTCCCAATTCATCTATAGGCTGTTTGAGGGTAAACACTCCTATTACTTGTATCCAACGAGCACAATGCCTGGCTCAATGGCCACCTACATAGGATGTGGCCAATAATATTTTGTTGATTTGATTTAATGTTGGACACTGTGAGGGAAAAAACATCCCACTTCTATTAAATCCCAAACTGTTTTTCTTTAATGATAAATATGCTTTCTCCTAAAAATCACTTGTTTTGTTTCAATTCTACACATCATTCATTACAACTTTTGTTTTATATTCCCTTTTTTTAATAGGAGAAGATCATGGAAATTAGAAAGCAATTAGGAGAAATGGATAACAAATTTAACCAGGTAATGACAAAATGGCTTTATAACTAAGGAGGAAAACAGTTCTTCAAAGATATCTCAGATTTAGAGAATTTCAGGGAATGGAATCTTAGATTCGATGAAAGATATACTCAGAATTTTAGACCTGGAAAGGAATTTACTGTCATTTAGACTGTACCTGCATTTTCAGAAAAAAAAAATGTCACCTCCAAAAGATGAAGTGATGAAGTGATTTGCCCATATTTCCAGATGAAAAGAACCAGTCTCACTCTTGCTCTCACATACATTTCTATATTTTTTTCTTCTAATGAAAGTAATGCATGCTTATTTTAATAATTAAAACATTATGGAACTATTAAAAATGAAAAATAATCCCACTCCCTCAAAGACAAACCCAATGAATATTTTAGTATATGTATATTCTTTCAAATTTTTCCTATACATATTTTTACACCTTGTTGTCATTGTTTTAATTGGATCATATTATATATGTTGTTTTACAACTTGCTTTTGCACTTAGCATTTTTTCTTCAACAATTTTCTATGCTAGTAGATGTCATTTTACCTTTTTCCCCGACTGCTATATAATGCATGTTTAAATTTATTAAATTTA